GCGCGAGATTCTCAACAATTATCAGAAGAAAATAAACGCCTTGAACGTGAAATCACAGAGGTCAAAGAGAAAATGATTTCTTTACAGACAAGAAGCGAGAATTTACAAGAGCAATTAAATGATACCAGCGAAAAATATTCATCTATGCTGACGAAAACTGCCGAAGATCATGCGAAACTTATTGAAACTAATGGTACACTGCAAAAGTCGGTTAATGATCTGCTAGAAGAAAAGAGAAACCTTTCCGAGACAATAGAAACTAATATTAAGGAAATTCAGCAACACAAAGAACAACTTGCACTATTTAATTCGAGCGATCAGGGAGCAAGAATCTCTCAACTAAAGTAATTTCCACGTTCAATTTTCTTTTTTATATAATATATATTTTGTGGATTAATCCTTTTTGTCTAATTTATTCAGGACTGAACTTGAAAATATACAAAAAGAGAATTCTCGGCTTCTCGAAGATAGTAAAACATACAAAGAGTTATGTGAAAAATACAAAGCTGATCTCGATAATAATAACCGTCTATACTTCGAACTTAAATCCGCTACTGATACTGAGCGGGAAGAAAATTTGGTAAATAAATTCTGTTTATATAAATATCTAATATTTCTCCCTAGCTCACATAGCATTCTGGCTTTAGGTCTTAGTCAAAAAGCTTCAAGATGAGCTTCAGCAATCAAAGGAGGAAAATGTCGTATTGAACAATAAGAATCAGGATCTAACAGTTGCGCACGAGGAGTTAGTTAATATGAAACAATCATTGGATGAAACCGTGGTCAATTATAGTAATCAAGAACAACGTTTGAGGGAAGAGATGAAAAGACAGGAGCAAATGCTTGAGGAAGCACAGAGTAATTATAATCATGAATTGGTTGTTCATGCGGCAAGTGTACAACAATTCCATGAGCTTAATGAAAAATACGTCCAACTGAATGCTGAACTCGAGCGATTTAAGGTAAATAAGAATGCACATTTTCTTGATATTTTAAAATTTCTTTTCTTGACACTGTTATTTAAAATCTTTAGAATACGATGACGCAATCAGAATCAGTTTGGAAAAATGAAAAGGAACAACTGGAAAAAGATTTGTTAGAAACTCAGAACCGGTAACGCGGGAATTTTGTCGTCGTAGGAAAATTGTTTATATTTTGTACTAATTGTATTTATGTTCGTGCCCTTAGTTGTAATGAGCTTGAAAGCAACAACAAAGTTTATCAAGGATACTTCGATGTCAATTCTTCAGAAAAGACATCTCGAGATGAAATAATCTTCCTTCTGCGACGTGAAAAGGAAAAATTAGCGACTCAAAAAGAAATTTTTGCGCAGCAAGCAGAAAGGTTTAAGGCACA